ACCAGCCCCAGCTCTCTCATCCGGTCCTCATGTGGAAGTTGCTCCAGGCCCTTCATCCTCGTCGTGGCCCTGCGCTGGACCCTCTCTAGTAGCTCCTTGTCCTTCTTGAGCTGAGGAGCCCAGAACTGGACACAGCATTCCAGGGGAAGCCTCACCAGCTCAGCGTAGAGGGGGAGGATAACTTCCCTCAAACTGCTGGTCACGCTCTTCTAAATGCACCCCATGATACCGTTGGCCTTCTTGGCCGTGAGCAGGACCAGATGTGGAGAGATGGTAAGACAACTGACAGTGCCTGAAGAGCAGTTGCAGGAAGCAGTGCTAGGGCAGTGGGTTTTTTCACCTTTTACCATGAAAGCAAATACCCCAAACAGAAGTGAGAACGTTCTTGTGGGACATTTAACAAATACCCACATCACTCAGGGAAAACAAGGACTGCAATTGCATTTAACGAGTAAGTAGAGTTATCTGCTTTGTCATCCTCGGGAACCTGAAGGCTCATCACTGTTCTGAAACACCGTGAGACACCCCTGTACGCTACTTGGATGTTGCTGCCTTTGAGGAGGTCGGCGGCAGGGAGGTGGAACAGAACTGCTCATTAAAATGTTCAGTGTTAAAAAACCAGCCCCAAATCACAAGTGTGTGAAGTCACACAGCTGTTGGCTCAGAGATTCAAAATTCTGAGAAACAGCCAGTACAAGTAGTGCCCACCTGAACCCCACAGCCTGACCAGGCATTTACGTGCAGACGGCAAGTTCTGAGCTTCACTCGCTTCGCTGTTCTTTCCAAGAAAAAAAAAAGTGAAAGCCACATAAATTTCTGCTTACCTTCGAGTTTATCCTCTCTCACTACCGCAACCTTGTGGCACTGTAAAAAATAAATTGCAATCTTCAAATGGGAACAGATCTGTTGCACGCAAGACTGATATTTTCAGTTAGCTATTGAACAAGAAAGTCTCTAAGAGTACAGGTGCAGCTTTATGGCTGCAAAGACCACCAATGCCTTTAAAGTCCCCAGCCACTAGTTTGTAAAGCTCTACCTTCCTCATTTTCATAGAATCATAGAATGGTTTGGGTTGGAAGGGACCTTAAAGATCATCTAGTTCCAACCCCCCTGCCATGGGCAGGGACACCTTCCATAGACGAGGTTGCTTCAAGCCTCATCCAGCCTGGCCTTGAAGACAGCCAGGGATGGGGATCTATTTTCCAATAGATTGTTTCACAGATCACCACAACCCTAAAGAAACCCCCTGCCCTCCATTCCCGACACCGAGAGGTGGGACAGAGGCAAAAGGAGAACTAAACAACCGCACAGCACAGCGGAGGAGAGCGAACTAACGCAGCCGAGGGCTAGAAACCTGCTGCCCTCACCCACATCACCCCTGTGCATCTGCCAGCACACTCCAACGCAGCAATCCGCAGCAGAGACATGGCACCTGAGAAGCAAAAGGCTGCGAGAAATTAAGCATTAATTTAAATGGCAGAAGGGAGAGTTCCTGGAAATGTGCTCTACAGCCACGTCTGTGAGGACTAAACCCGCTCTTGGCCATCTAACAGGCTGCGGTTAACACAAAATATCCAAAATAGGATGAAATCCAATTTTCTGTTTAAGTGATAGCATCAGACCAGCCAGCAAAAGGGGTAAGAAAACGTAAACTGAAACTGCAAAGATAGATTGAGAGTCTTGGTCCCTCACCGAGACAGACTCGGGATGGGTTTCTATCCCTCCCTCTCTTGCAGCTGAATCCATGGCCTTGTGGCTACACCTACTGACCGCAGGCAGTAGTGCAGGGTTACCAGCACCCACAGGCTCGCATCCCTTTCCTACCCTAAATCGACTTGGGCCAGATAATACCCACCACCTACTCCAATGCCCGCAATTCTTCTGGGTCTGACCTCTTCTCCCATCTATTCCCAGTCTAGGAACTTTAAACTCCTCCTGTGTGGCATTCCCAACCCCAGCATTGCTTCATCTTTGCCCCTAACAACTTACTGCACCTGCAGGTCACCTTTCTTCACAGGCACTGCTACTGCAGTACTCAAAAATATGGTATTTTTTAAATATCAAGGGGAAAAAAAGGTGACCTTCCTGTGTTTACCTTGGTAGATCTTGGCTTTAAAATATCTGCTAAGATGGAGTTTAAAAAAAAAAAAATCATTTGTGTCCTATGTCAGAATTCACTTGTTTATTTTGAAACATATTCTGGCCAATTTAAAAGTAACAAGTGTGTTGACAAACCTCTGGCCAGTTCTAGTGAGCCAAGAGATGCCACCTTGTTATTTCCAAAAGAAATCAGGGGAAAAAACCATTAAACTCAGGCTATAAATGTGACAGTACCTGCACAGCTTTAAATAAAGACGTTCCATGTTACGGAACTAATGCAGCAAATAACCACCTTCAATTCCAGACAGACCTGGAGATTCAAAGAAAACCTTCCATGCACGTGGGCCAATTTATTATTTAGGAAAGCCAAAAAGGTCTGTTGGTCCACCCCCCCCAGTCCACAAATAAATGCCAGGACACCCTGAGATGCACTAATTCTAAATGAAGACTAGAGACTGTAATTATAAGAGGTTATTAGGGTATTTAAGTATATGAACAGCTAAATTTGTATCTAAATACACGAAGTGGAATGTCAAAGGCATTTAGTGTTTGGGTATTAAATTGTTCTGTTAGCAAGGGGAAACAGGCACTCCGCTTCCTCCTCTTCTTTTGAAAACCCCTGTAGTACACATCTGAAATTTTAGATGGCTTTCTTGAAAATCTGACCAGCAGCAACGAGAAAAAATAAATTCATTAAGTAGCAATTCCTTTGCTTAGTAAGTCAAAATATTTTAAACCATAGAATCATAGACACTGATGTCAAAATATTTTAAATACAAAATACTGTCAATGAGTTTATGTTTCTCTTGCATACTAGGATAAAAAAGTTGCTTTAATTAACCAGACAACTTCAACAATTTATTTATTTAATTATTATTATTCCATGCTAACTGAATGCCAAGCTCTAACAGCTTCACAGAGTGGAAGGGG